GATAGATAGATAGATAGATAGATAGATAGATAGATAGATAGATAGATATAACTTTTTAAGAAGAATTGCTAGAAAAAGTGACAGCTTTTGTACAAACATTTCTGCGGAGTGCAGGAAAACGTTTGCAAATCTGGCCTTTACTGGAGAGCCATAGAAAGGAAACCTTTGCAGCATCCTTAACACTGAATTTTTCTGTCAAAAAGTTTTGGAGAAAAGTCCTGTGAGGTAAGTTAAACCAGAACTTGTCGACGGCGGTGAGGAAAGGTGCGGGGGTGGATCGATCAAGCTTTGATCTTGGGATCAGTGCTTGCTATGCAAGGAAATATTCACTATCAAGGGAAGAAATGATCCACATGAAGCCCCCACAGCAAAAGAAAAAAACTACTTTTTCACCTTGTCAACCTATTGATATTAAATCAAATTTCCATTGGGATTAACAGAGTATCCATTCAGTTATTAATTCATTCTTATCATGCTTTTATTTGTTGTAAGACATTCAACAAGCAATGTCAGCCATCAACACAATCCCCAGTTTTGAATCTACACAGCACTGTCCTCTGCCTCAGAAAGGTAAAACCAGACAGACTGCCTGTTCCCTGTTGGGTTAAGCAGTGTCTGCCGGTCCTGACAGCTTTCTGATTGGATCTGTGTCAACTGTATGGGGCTCTAGAATGTTATAGGCGAAGTTAAGATAAGTAAGGTATAGTAAGAAGTTGGGAGCGTTCCTGAAACGGTGGTTGAGTAGCTCAGATTCCACAAGCTTTCATGTCTACAAAGGCATCAAACTGTTGTCACATGACCAAAAAAAGCCCATTAAACGTAGGTATTTCCTAAGGTGTCAGAGTTTTGCAGAGAGGTGATAGTCCTGGGCAGACGGTCCCTGTTTCCTGGGCAAAAGGTATGTTGATACAGAAACAAATAATCAAATGAATTGAGATTATATAACTCGGAGTACATTTCACGACTTAAGATAATTGGGTGATCTTTAACTCCCTTGGCAGCAGAATTGCAAATATCTGTACATGGAATGGACGCAACTACAATTTCAAGGTTATAAAAATGAATTGATTTCACACTCCTACGCCCTCCCAGTGCCAGATCTCAATACTGTGTTTGTGCTGTGCCAACAGAGAAGAGATGATGGTACAGCCTGTTTAGAACTTTTTTTCTTATTCAGAAAAGGATTTACAAAGAAAGCCATAAAAAAGACACACATTTTGATATATATATTATGATTTAGACACAGTTCCCATGATAAAATATATACATGTCAACAGACGTCTTGAGCGATCATGATGAGGCTTTTAGCCACATTTACAAGATCCTAACATTGACTGTGAGTATTGCTTCAAAAGGCAAAGATCCATTATATTTTCTTCATCCAGATAGATCCAAAAGTGTCATAGGAAAAGCAGTTTTAGTTTTTAACCGATGTTTTGACAGCAAAATGAAAATTTGAAGATGACATTAATTCAAATTAAACTATTCCTCCAGTAATGTTTATAATGAAATGCATTAACGTTTGCAGGAAACTAATCTCTGTGGTTTATGGGATGTACTGTCCACTCAGTGCACGTGCCCGCTCACTAACCAGTCCATCCGTTGCGGTTTTCCTTGCTGACGTCTGCCCCGTGATGCAGCAGGACCCTGGCACATTCCAGGTGACCCAAAGTGACAGCCAGGTGGAGAGGAGTCCGCCCACGGGGGTCCAGAGACTCTAAATCCGTCTGGAAGGAAGAGGAGAGGGGAAAAAAGGGCAAAAGAAAGAAGAGAGATATTTTGAGTCAGGGTGATAAGAAAAAAAGAAAAAAAATACTGAAGCGTGCAAGTGATGATAGAATGAGAGGGATAGAGACTGCGGCAGGTGCTAAGTGATCCGTCAGCACTCCAATACTGCTGCCCACTTATTTTCCGGGCTTTACAGATTTGGTTTAACAGACAAAACAAACAGCACAGTTAATCAGAACAAGAAAGAAACATTCCTACTTGCCTTTGAGGCACATAAAACAAGAATTCTAAAGCTCACATAAGGCAAACAGTTTCAATCGCAGACAAGACATGTGGACAGCCCAGATTTGGCTCCAGCATCCTTTATACTGTTCCAAAAACCAAAGTTGTCATATGGCTTCTGCTGTCGTATGGCTTCTCTTTCACACATGAATCACAGACTTTATATATATGACAGTTCAGGATTTTTACTTTCAAATAGAGGAAAAATTAATCATATACATATGCACCTGTGCACACACACGCAAACAAATACACATATATATATATATATAAATGTGTGTTTGTGTTCATGTGTGTGTATATGAACATTAAAACACCATCAATCTAGGTTTTACTACTACTGCAACTTAATGGTGTTATTTCAATTTTTTATTCTTGATAAAACTGATGGAAAGTCACATGTTACCATTATCAGTCCCATCAGTGAAATTTACAGAAGACATTACCAGTTATAATTAGTTCCCAGCTCTACTTCTCTGCATAAAGTGGCCAGTCCCTCCCTGCATCCACTTCCTCGGATGTTTCAAACGCTGTTTCAATTTCAAGTCTAACAACGGCGTCCTCCTCCTCCTCCACATTCAGCTCCTCTTACCACGCTGATCTTAGATCTGTCATCCAATCAAGCAGAGCGGCTAACAGCCCTTGTTATCTCAGGCCTTTGCTGATCCCAAGTCAGTCCTGTCACTCAATAGCAGCCGTGAATTCTAATTAAGGATTTGTCCCTGAGCTAAGTGTGTTAAGTCTCAGAATCAGCTCTTTAATGAAGACTCGCAGATCAATTCTCTCTAGGAATAAAAATGCGATCGCGTGAGGATGCTCTGGGTGTGTGAAACACTCTGTCTCCGTCTCAGTCCGCAGCGGAGCACAGGGGCCAATTTTGAAAAGTGACAGATGAGACTACGGGAAGGTAAAATTGTGAGGAGAGACAGAGCGACTCAGCAGTCATCAGTCAGTTACTGCAGCTTTCTCTCTCTCGTCTGCAAGGGAAATGAGGAAAACCACGCGGGATGCACACAAACGGCACATGAGTGCGGATGGAGACGCAAACGCCCGCGTCCACAAGACACTCGTGTGCTCTTAAAATGTTTTAGCATGATCTGGATTGGGTTACGTGATGCATAACTCGATAATGAGAACATGATACCGCGGCTTAAGCGCGCACTAATGGGTGGACCGTCTCTGTGCTGTGTCTAATTCTTTGCTTGGCAGTCATCCGCACTCTGCTGCTCCTTACAAAGCAAAAGCAGATGAGAGGAGAGAGTGACAGACGTGGATATTGTGGGAAGAGACGTTTCTGTTGACTCTCAGCAAAGCTTCCAAAATGCAAGACAAGGCGTGACGGAGGGAAAGGTTAAAAAATAAGAGATGGCTCCTGCGAGTGATGGCTATGGGAAAACAAAGACTCTGGGGGGGGGGGGGGGGGGGGGGGGTGAGTAAAGAGAGAACAGAGGGACGGGAGATAGGAGGCCAGGGCTTGAAGGAGACGAAAACATGAAGGAGTCCCTCAGGAGCTGTGGAGGCTGGGGAATAGATGCAGAGGGGGGGGAAAGAGGTGACGCGTCATGGCAACACAAGGAACACAACCTGGAACAGTCAGCTTGTTTGTGTTGAGGATCCAGGTGTAGCACGCAAATACAGCCCCTCTCACCATTTCATGTGTGCGTGTTCGACAAAAATAGAGCCTCAAAGGACGCGGCAAAAAAACAGCAACAAAACAAAGAGTCGAAGCAGCATAAATATGAAAAACAGTGAGAACATAAAGTAAGGTGTCCATCACTTAGACTGCACGAGCCGCTAAGACGGATGCTAAAAGAAACCTTAAATAGTGTTTATTCTCAACACTGACACAGCCCTCTTGTTCTTGTTAGCATTTGAAATAAGTTAAATGGAAAGGAATAAAAGACCCGAGGAGGCTTAAAGCGTAGAAGTGGGAAACCTTAATAAGTCAGATTTCTGTCCTTTTATGGCACTTACCTCCCTAAGTACCAGAGCTGTCCCTTTCATCCTCTGCTCCTCCCGAATGTAATACAGGCAATTATAAGTTTGAGTTGTTTGTTTGTTGTTGTTTTTTTTCAACAGATGTGCCACATTTGACTTCCTCTGGGTGCAAGAGCTCAGGGCAAACGACTAAGACGCGGCAAACAGACGACATGATGCCAGGGTGCTAATGAGGGAGAGGATAAACAGGAGCATATGGTGTGATGGAACCGCACCGAAACGGGAGTGGGAAAGTCAAGGCAGCTGGATGAGTGCAGAGGAAAGGGGAGGCTGCAGAAAAAGACAGGTCAGAGAGAGAACAGGATGCTCCCGGAAAACTATGCGGATGATATCTAACAGAAGATGACAGGGGAACAACTGAGCGATCCACTCAGCTGTTGCTTTGGGTTGCTGTTTCCCTTTCTCCTTAACTCCTCTTGATGTGTCTTCTGCCCTGCCCAAAGAATATACTTTAAAAGCAAGAATATAAAGTGTGATTTACTGTATAGGCCTTGCTACTTTTTCTGTAGCACTTTTTTCTGTGATGCCTTTAGTTTTGCGAAGCATAGAGGAAATTAACCCTGTAATGCTATTCCGAGCAGTTTGAGTTTCTCGTGGGAATAAACCTGCCCAGCCTTCACAGCCATATCACTGCGTATGTCCTGAGAGTCAGACCATAAAAATCTGCTCAGTAAGGGTTTTTTTGTGGCACCGGCGGAGTCCGTCTCCGGGTCTGGTTGACGCCTGCGGTTTTGGCGGATCGACTCTTTGGCCCGGGCCAGCTCGATGTTACGGGCACTGCATTGTTATGATTTGCAACCAACGCTGGAGGAAGAAACCTCCAAAACGCTTTTTCAACGTGCGAAACAACACGAGTCAGCATGTGAGAAATTTTTCCCGTGATGACAACTCTGGAGCTGCATCAGCAAACAACAGCAGTCTCAAACTGTGATTTGCCGTTGCTCCTCTGGGCCACCGCGCACAATAAGCAGCCTGTAGGAGAACGTTCAGCCTAGATTTCTGCTAGGTTTTGGTGATATGGCCGAGGAAACAAATGTAGATTTATACCTTCTCACTTGTATTTGGATTCTGAGAAACACAGATGAGCTTCAGCTGATTAATCAATTGTTAAAAGATTGACTTTGATTAAATGAATCAGCTTAGTTATTGAAAAGACTAAATTTGTCCATTTATAGTTGTTGGAAATGAGGAAAATTAGCACCACAACCCAAACATGATTTGGTTTTGCCTTGTGTGTCAGCCTATTTCTTGCTGGGGAAGAACTTTATCATCGAGTTCTCAGAGAGAGGGCCATAAAAGGAGCTTCCATTCTCAGCCCCGGAGGCCACCGTTTAGTCTAGACGAACGCACGCCGAAGAAACGCACGCACCGAGGAGCGGCACCGGAGTTAGCCAAGAGCTACGGTCCTGTCAGCACTGTACGCTGACCCGCAGACGTATTGGCTCACTTACTCAGTGAGATGTGGACAATGCTCAGTTAAAACACACAAGCGCAGACATACTCAGGGCTGAATTATAATGAAGAAGTCTTTTCCTCCCCCATTAACAAAATACAAACTCTCTGGAGAAAATACTGTTGTTTACAACTAATGGGCCGTGCACTCTGCCTCTTATTCTCTCGTACGGTCTTATCTAGTCCACACAAATCCACACACACACAGTCTGACTGGCCTGGTGTGGTTCTGTGGTCCCAGTGGGGACATTATGTCATCCATGCTCATCTCCTCGCCTCCGGTCATCACTCACCCATGAGACCGGGGTGGAGGATATTCTTTTATATTGAGCTTCTGATGGTGGATGTGATTCACAGAGGGGAAACACTTCGGCGTATGCATTCCAACTTTGCGAGGAGTAAATCAAACACTCCGTCAATCCCACTGTGGCTCGTCCACGTAAAGAAAAAACTTTGCGAATAGCCAGAGCTCAGCTCCGCCTTAGTGAGTTACAGCTGTGAGACGAGCATGGCTGACGGCCATTTTACTGCAGTCCTACTGACTCACCGTTACAGGTGAAATAACTTTGTTTTTACGAAAGCTGAGTGGGTTTGCACACACAATCCCCCCTGGCAGAAAAGCGGTCGTATTGACACAATCAGTAATGCTGTCCAAGTTAAAGGTCCAGATTTAATAAAATGGGCAAGTTGTACTCTTCTGGAAGAAAGCAAGCATACCAGTTCTCCATTTCTGGAGGTAGAAAATGTTAACAACTTCCCCCTTAGAAAAAGTGGCCCATGTGCAGCAGCTTTTTTCAATAAAACATGCTGGTTATGTTAAATCTGAGGAATTAACAGTGGACGATAAAGAAGTGGAATAAATGCTTCTAAACCACAATAAGGGATTTGTAGGAGGATTGAAAAGCCTGTACCAGCTGGCCAAATGGGAATAATAGGGAAAACCTTTTTGACATCTCTGCAGATAAATAAAACCTTTTTAAAAATTTGCTTTTGTATTATTGAGCATCAGGCAGTTGTTTATTCTGTAACTACGCTTTCTTATCAGAATCAGCTTTGTTGGCCATGTCTTGGGTGCACACGTACGGGAAATCTGACTGGTTACTTTACTCTCTTGTGCAGAATTAGACTTTAAGGAATAAATCAAAGGGCAAGAGCAGGTATGTACAACAGCGCTGGGCATTGATTGTATTATGATTAATGCCAAGTTGGTCTTATCCTCAGACCGGACTGTGCTCTGCAGTCTGTTTTCGCTGTGTTTGGTGTCTAA